GGGTCCAAAAGGATACATACAAAGCCTCTGTAGCGGGAATATTGATGGGCTGATTATAAGTACATTCAAGAAAAAAAAAACAAAATAAATTTTCATATATAAAATTGATTTAAAAATTGCGCGAACTGAAGCATGCGATAGCTGAATTGTTATCAACCAAAGTACAATTTACTATTGATACAGAAATAACACAGTACTTTTCTAGTTAGTATATTTATTATCTGACTAATTTATGTGCACAGAAAGTGAAAATATTTTCTGTTTCTATTATAAATTGTGATGTATCCGCGCTCCGGCGATCACAGAATGCTAATCGGGACCACATTTCGGTGAAACGCCAGTGATTTTATGCACAACCTAATTTCACTTCGCAAATTAATCTCTACATTGTTCGAAAATGATGTTCCGTCGACATAGTATGGGTTATTAACATGAATACCTATCAAAATACAGTACAGTGAAATTGAATCACGTGTTCGACGATACTCATTTAAATAATAAAAGGATCATACTAGTTTTCTTGATGTTTATAAATACATATCAGATAAATTATATAACAATAGGACACAAATATAATTTCTTTGACACTTTGGAAGAGGCGCAGGGAATCGTGATTTAAGAAACATTGCAGAGTAACAATTTAATTTTATAAATTAGTTAATATAAATTCTAGTTATTTAGACGCGAAAATCTATTTTCTTAATTAATTTTTCATTCGGAAGAGAAAGGGTTGGAAAGAAGAGACAGGTACGTGTTTAATTGCAAGAAAATGAACATTGGAATAAGCGTAAGATAAGAATTTTTGGATTAGAAAAAATCTGGAAAACAGTCGAAAATATGATTAGTTATGTTGAGGAGTTTCTTGAAAAGATAAAATAAAATAAACTTAGATTATACAACTATTTAATTTTAATTTATCTAGAATATGGGTGCCAATTTCAAACAGATATTACGTATTCGCGTCGTTATTTAACATTGGAATACCAAGAATTTTAAAAGGATAACAAAATAAATCCACATAACATAATGAAGGTTATGATTCTCAGAATTATAATCTAATTAAGTTTTTTGTAAGTTGCCAAATAGTCCAAATGTCGGACCTGAATGTTTTGTTTTGTGCCGCCAAAAATATATTTGATATTTTAATTGCCTAATGTCTTCAATAAGTCACGTCAAATCGCAGCTAATATCTTTGACATTAACTAAATTAGGATAAAGCTGTATTATCTGTTACCAATTACCAAAATTTGTCCTTTGTTATATGGATTAACTTTTAATGAAGCAACATCCCATCGAGCGCCAATTTGTCAGTCAGACTAAACAAGGGTATTGGATAAAGACCGAGGTTTATAGTAGTGGTACAGTGGAGTCATTTTCTGGTGTTTATTACCTGAAATATGATGATACCTGTCGAAGATTTCTGAAAGAAAGACCATTGTCTTTCTGAGAAATGAACATTACTATATGTCTTATTATATTTACGAGTATAATTCTGTGATAGTTAAAACATAGTTAAGACTAAATAAAAGTATGCTATATTCGGTGATGCCACTGAACCCTTGTAAGGAAGAATCGAGTGAGTAGGTAACGAAGAGAAATTACTTAATCATTAATTTAAAAAAAAATAGTAACTGTATGTCAACTCTAAAGGTCAGCGTGCTGTTATCAATAAGACAGAGTTTACTTTGAATACGCTCATAACGTCACATCAGTAAGTTAATTAGGTATAATAATTTCTTTTTTTTTCCATACTATCGCAGCAAGAACGGTAAATATGAACTTGTAGCCTTTTAAAATATTGGGTCGTCCTTCAAATATAATATTCGAAAGGAAATAGGCAAAAACTACAAATAGTATATATATAAAGGAGTGTCCATACCAAAGTTTCGAAGGATTTTATGGAGGCGCTCTGTCGAAAACAATTAATTATTTTTGAAGTTTAAAGAGATTCAGTCAGATTGAGAACATCTTTGTTTACAGTTAAAATCGTCTAAATGTAATTTTTGTTTATAAAAACGTATTGATGTGTTATATTAACATGTGTGCAATCATACGTTTGCCCTACTTCATATCCCAAATTAGGACAGACGCAACATATCTTTTTCCACAAGTTTCGATCCATTTTTCACTTTTTCTTAACAATGTCATCCATCCATTTCCCTTTAATTATCGATCTTCATTATTTCTCGCCGTCACATTGTTACTTTTTTATAACCCAACGTTTCAGCCAAGTGGTAAACCTGATAATGTCATTTCATCGAATGAAACTCGTAAACACTTATACAAAATATCAGTTTTATTTTATCTAGCAACAATATAGAATTTAACAATGAAGTCATTGATGACACAAATGCGTTCGATACAGAATAATATTTGAAAAACATTTTATGTGGCGGTAGCTAATTTACACAATTGGTTAAAACGAACCTTGACGGTGTAACTTCAAACTGATCAAATGGACACAAGGATGTGGGTAAACAGAGACGATTTATAACGCGCAAGTTCTGTCACATGTAGTATATTGCGAAACAGAGGCATGTTTACTTTTCAACGAACTATTTATGTATGGACTAGTTGTTTGTGACTTCGCCCGCCTAATTTAAAGCCTAAAGCAACTGCGTATCAAATCATGAGAAGACTTTCTCCTGAAGCTAAGCTGTAACAGCTTCAGGAGAAAGTCTTCTCATGATTTGATCTTTACCTTTGAATTATAACCAAAAAAAAAGATAGTCAATTTTTTTATAGATATGACTTCGATTCGTTTTCGACTATTTTTCGTATTACGCGTGGAATGTGGGCGAGTTGTGGAATATACAGCGAGTTGTTGGGTTAGAATCGAGTTGTTATGACGGCGGCGCTACACTTGTTTGAATCACCCTTTGTTTGCACGGGCAATTTGATTGCGCGTGCTATATGTATCGAGCCTTTCCAAATTGTATGATTCTATTAATGACATTATACAAGTCTTACAATAACTGTTATTTATTATAACATTGTTGATTTTCGAGCAAGTACCCCGCGCTAACGAAATAATAACTTCACTAAGATAACTTTAATAACTCCATCATATACAATCATCAATAGACTCCATCTATTAATTGAACTAAATCGTATCATAAAAACTTATGATACGATTTAGTTCAATTATTATATTTGGATTTTAAGATTCTGATGTTTTCACAAATGGATCTAAATCCATTTTATTTTTTTTTTTATTTTTATTTTTTATTTAACAGTTTATTGTACACAATAAAAACACTAAAGTAACAATACAAATATAACTGACACAACAGGCACTACTTATTTCTAACCAGAAATTTCTTCCAGTAGGCCTACGGAAGGAGATTCATAAAAAGTAAGGCAGACACAACGTGCACAATAATTAAATTGAAATATTTACAATAGATACGACTTTTGACCATAATTACATACTTAACATGAACATAAATGTATACTTACATATTATATACTTACATAAATAAGCATAATAAATAATATATATACATAATATAAGCATAAATACATATATAACATATATAACTAAAAATATTATATATACTAGACAACTAGTGATAAATAGTGCTCTTTGACTCGCTTTTTAAATACAGGTAATGATGGACAATCACGTACTTCGTAGGGGAGAGCGTTCCATAATCTTGCGGCATGGACAGTGAAGGAATAGGAAAAGAAATCAGAGTGATGGGTGGGGATGGCCAGTGACGTCCTTACGTTCGAACGACAAGGTTTGTCCTGGGCCCGGGAGAAGTGGAAGAGGTTACGGAGATAAGAAGGAGCAGAGGGATTGTATAGGATGTTATAGAGAGTAGAAAGAACATGAGCGGTTCCTGCGGTGACGAATTGGAAGCCACTTGAGTTGCGATCGGAACTGGGAAATATGATCGTACTTACGTAAACCGAAAATAAATCTAATACATACATTTTGGAGACGCTCTAGTTTGTTTAGAAGCTCCTCAGTGGCATCCAGGTAGCACGCGTCAGCGTAGTCAAGAATGGGGAAAAGGAGAGTCTGTACGAGGGAGATCTTGGTTTTCAGAGGTAAAAAGTTCTGGAGACATTTGAGCGAGTGAAGTGAAAAATGTAATTTTTTGCTGACCTCATTGACGTGCGGGAGCCAAGACAAATTGGAATCGATGATAACCCCAAGATTCTTTGCAGATTTGCTAAAAGGAATAATAACGCCATCGTAAAGCAATGGACGGATAGCAGTGACAGCGCCAAGACGCTTATACATATATGTGCTCCCAATAAGCAAAGCCTGTGACTTTTTCGGGTTTACTACTAGTCCGAATGACTTAGCCCAAGTAGAGATCCGCTCCAGATCGGCATTGATAAGAGCAATAGCATCACCAAGATCAGAGATTTTAAAATGCCGATAGATCTGCAAGTCGTCTGCATAAAGATGGAAGTTAGACAAAATTACAGTGGTGACTGTGTTTATAAAAACGGAAAACAGGAGTGGTGACAGTACACCACCCTGCGGCACACCCGCACCGAGATCGCACCAGTCCGAGGAGACATCATCAGAGTGGATCCGCTGAGAACGACCACGAAGGTAAGACTCAAACCACGCCAAAGCAAGAGGAGAGACGTTAAGAGAGCGAAGAATAGCGAGAAGGACATCAAAGTCTACAGAATTGAAAGCGCTGCTAAAGTCGAGTGGTGTTAATATCGTCAGAGACTTGTCCTCCATTGCAAGACGTATATCATCTGTGACCTTTAGCAGCGCTGTCACAGTACTGTGACTTTTATCTCACAAAGAGACAGTTCACTTAAGTACAAATGAAAAAAGTAATACTCTATGCGATAATTACGTCCCGATAAGATAAAAGCTCACGTTTAAAATACAATGACAAATTGAACTTCATCACATCAGAACCAACTTTGAAAACAAAATTGTAACCGGACAATAAATTAGCTAAACCGACAGGCTGTAGTTAGCAAGACACAAATCTACTCGAGTCCAAGTGAAAACCTGCAATTTAGTCCAGTGTCGCTGCCGTAATGACCCTAATTAGGAGACTAACGAAGGAGATTGTATCGCGAATAATAGCGTCGTGTTTCGCGTACGCACGTACCGCCATCGTCGCCACAGCAGGTGCGCTTGCGGTGCGAAACCATTCAATTCTGAGTGACAACACAACCATTTTTTGCTAACGCAGGGAAAATGCACAGCATTAGATCTAGACTCTCCAACCACACGAACCTGTAGGACAAGTGTAAGCATGACTGCTCTACCTGATAAAACCCTAACCGCCCGAATAGGATATTTGGGTGACAAGATAGTTACCAGCTTTCAACAGAAGCTCTTAAAAGCAATGTCACTACCAAAATATTACTATAAAAATCAGATAACAGAGATAGGTAACAATAATCATCAGATAATTGGAATATAATATGCAGTATGCAATGCGTAACACGAAAAAATATACTAAAATAAGTAGGAAGACTCATCACCACTCAGCAGATCTCGTTCACTAGCATGACGAGCCGTTCATCGCGTCCAACAACCATATCTTAGAGAACGTCCCGACTCGTACAATGCAACGATACTCAAATAGTTTAACAATGCAATGAATGCCTTAATCTGCTGCTGTCATACAGCAATGAAGAATATTCAAACTATATTTCCATATCAATTGAATTTCACCAAGAAGTTCATTTAAATATTTAGTATCTCCTGTAGTATTATATAGAACCGATGTTGTCAGTAAAACAAAATTATAAATAACTAGCCGTTTTGCCGTGACATCTCCCGCGTAAATAGCTTCCCGTTAATACAATAATTTTTATGATCGGAATCCCTACAAACTTTTCAAAATTACCGAAGTGCAATCAGAAAAACTGTAGATACGTACCATTGACAATAGAGGACTATCAAATTGCAATGTTGCTATATGCAAAAAAAAATTGACTCTACAAATGTGAAAACTAGCAGTTATCAACGTGCGAAGTGGAACATGCGAATATTAATGGACGGCGGCCGAGGGCGGTCGCGTGTTGCAACAAAATGATAGTTTAATTTTGGGTTATTAGTAAGAGACAGGTCGTGGAATTACATTGATTATACGTTACTATCATTTGCTGTCGAACTACTGTAAACACAGTGATACCATCTCTCGAAATGACCAGGTTTTTGTTTCCTAATTGATTGCGAAAGGGTTTATTTTGTGACGAATTTTTATCTTCAATAAAATCGAAACACAACCAACATTTTTTTTCAGGTTGGTGCCAGATATTTATATATTGTGGGTTTAAATATGCATTATATTTAAACGTATGCATATTTAAATCCACAATATGTAAATATCTGGCACCAACCAATATAATGCATATTTAAACCCACAATACATAAATATCTGGCAACAACCAATGTAATGCATATTTAAACCCACAATATATAAATATCTATCACCAACCAATATAATGCATATTTAAACCCACAATATGTAAGGGATTGCATTAATTATTTTCTCTGTTGTCTAACAAAGGCCCAAAAAATATCTATTCACAAGCTAAATCTGATAAATAGGACGCGCTGTCATTTACACTCGTACTGAGTAACTACATATTCAGTTAAGAGCATTTTCAGTTACAAAAATGTAAACCGTCGTAAATCATGCAAAACACAAATCAACTCCCTTCTAGCGACATCTAGTCTCGTTAAGAGTATTTAGAAATGTCCGTTGTTAATACTAGATGGCGCTACATACACGCAAGTCATCGACTGCTCATAATAACATTGTCATGCTTGTTTGTTGCACGTGGAGTAGTGGAAATCACGTGGCTTTGTTTTTCTATTTTTGGCACCTCGTTTAGTTTATAAATAAAGTTTGAAAGTGAGACAGACTACAAAATACCATATTTGGTTTAACCACCCATACGATTGTATCGTAAATCCAAAGCCGCTAAGATTTGTTACACTAAATACAAACGTAATTATTGTCTGTAACAGATTTAAAAAATGATAGTTTTCTATATATGTTCTACATTCAATATCTGAGTGATTAGTTGTCAGATTTCGAAGTTTTTTTTTGTTTCAAAAGATATATTCCCAGTGTGTTCATTAAAAGAAACTGTAGGAAATGACGTATTGAGACGTCTTAACAGCAATCTAGTGAAACCACTCTAAAGTATGTTCCACTGATCTTTTTTTGAAGATTTCATTTAGGATTGTCTCATTTTTGGTATTAAAGAACAATCCTACCTTTTATAAAGGACAACCTAAAAATTTTAGTCTAAACATAATATAAAGAGTATACTTTATACATTATTAACTACAATTACATATAATACAGCGATTCGGGTCAGTTCGTTTTGCTGTATGTGCTAATGCTGCCTTCTGCGCCGAGCTTTGCGTAATATTCCCTATTGAGAGGTACGGAGACATTGTAGACCGTTTCACGAGAGAGTTCCCTTCATATAATCCTAATTCCTTTGTAATAAAAGAGAAAACATTGTAATCCAAGGGACTTCTTTCGTGTAACGAACTCTACTTATCATGCTACTTACAACTAACCGGAAGTTAGACAAATTTGAAGCGTTGGGTTGTTTTTATTTGTTTAAAGACAAAGGGATCTATCCCATGAAGCCTAGTCTTCAGTAGTATTAGTTTTTTTTTTAATTCCACTTTAGTATTCGATATTTCAATGCTTTTTTGTAGTTTTTGATTTTCTTTATCATACATTGAATTATATATTTAACTATCTTGCGAAATAACATCACTCTTTCCAACTAAAAATCAATATAAACACTAACAGTACTATTGATAAACAAGGCATAGCGTCACAATAAATTTACGCCAATTTACGCCAATTCTGAATAATAATAAGTGTAGTCTCACCTTAAATTTACTCCAACTCTAAACCTTGTTTCTTAATAACACCGTAAGAATGTAATGAATCCTTTTAAGGGGTCGTAGGAGAGGTCATTTATAATTATTTTCACCTCACATTGTATATCCGAAAGTTATTTTTTTAATGCACTTTTTTTTGCAAATGTACAAAAAAAAAAAAACACCTTTTTTATTAAAAACGATGTAGTTAATGTTTGGGTCAAGATTATTTGGATTTTATTTTTATTTATCAACAACTGGAATGTTATCTCTGCAAAACTGTCAACAAAATTAAATTAAAAAAAAAAATTTCAAGACATCTGCACCAGAAATAGTATAGATATTTAATAGAATAGATATTTAATTGCCTTTAAATAGGGTACAATTTGATAGCAATTAAATAAAATAAAATTAGAACTCAAAACCTATTTACCCATACAGAGATAGCATGCAAATATTAAATTTAAATATATTTTCATTACCCGTAAAAACAATCAAATTAATTAAATACAATTATTATACAAAATTACTAAAATTACCATAATCATTTTCGTTTTGAAGATTAAATGGCACAATAATAAATGTCAAGATAATTAAATTATATTTTTTGAATTGGCACGATCGACTGGACTAATAGTCGCGATCGACTGGTTGGCCACCCATAACCCTGTATAGCGTACACGTGTACATACCTGAGCATGCACGTGAGTTGGAGGTCGTTCTGCAGCCGCGCCAGTGCGGGCGCGCCCTCCACCCGCACGGCGCTCACCTTGTCCCGCAGCGCGGCGCCACATCCGCCGCACCGCTCGCGCAGTATAGACATTATATTCGGCTGACGCAGGAATGCCACCACCTACGATCCAACGTTACAGGATCATCAACTATTTGTATAAAAACGAATATCTATTTCGCGATAACGGCTGGACCGATATAGACTTTTTTTTGCTGTGTTTGTAAATATGGATGACGACAAAATTTGTTTTGTGTGTTCGTCAGGTAGATTGTAGATAAATATTAAACACGTATTTTTTTCAAATTTTTAAATTACGGCGATAGATTAACTTATTTTGTCACACGTTATGGTACATTTTCTACAAAACTGTGACGAAAAACAATATATTACTATTTTTTTTTGTCGACGGTACCAGTTGATATGTATATGAAGTAAATAACGGTCGTTGACTTCTAACTCAAAGAGAACAACTAGTATGTTATTTTTTCCAATTTCATTTTCCAAAAACGATCAATCGGAAAGGATATATCGCTCACTGAATAGTACAGTGGCACAACTCAAAGACCATAATTTCGAGAAACGCTCTCCGAAGTTATGAAAATCTAATATATTTATAATTATGAAAATATTTTTTTTTTTAGCATAACAGTTAAATCGTTTGTATTATATTATTACTGTTAAGTTTTATATTTTTTCTTTAAATTATCTATGGGATGCCACCATAATATTGTGGCGTATTCTCGAAATAATGGTTTTTGAGTTGTGCTACTGTACTATTCAGTGAGCGATTTATACTTAAGTCTGTATTCTCGTAGTACCTGTGAGAATCCTTATCACAGGAACTATTTATTTGGAAAATGTCCAATTTTCAATTTGATGTAATAAAAAATAATCACCTTGTCATTGTAAGCTACGGGTATTTCCTGTTGAGTGTTGAGCGGCTGCGAATCCCCGACTGTCACGGGTGGCCTGGGAGGAGGTGTTGGGGCCTGGCAAAAAAAATAAAGTTTAATAACCACTGGAAAATTATCTTAACTTTTATATTTATCTTATTAACTCAATAAATAGACAATGAAGTTCCTATAAAGTGAATAAAAACATTGCGTTGATATTTTAATTTGCTTTCATAATTTAATAAATATTAAATAATTCATAACAAAACACACATACACAATAGTTAAGAATAAACTAACAAACTATTCAATGCGCTAAATAGTTATGTAATAAGGAATACAATAAAACGATATACTACATAGCAAACTAACCACAAGCGCCAAAAACTTAGAAAATACAAAAAACTAAATATAAAGCTATGAAAATTCACAAAAACAAAATAAAAATCACAACAAAAGCACAAAATAAACACACAAACGCAACATCGCGCTTTATAGGACAATCATAAAAGCATAAACTTTTTTTATTTGATAGGACTTATTAGTTTTTTGATATTCATTTGCAATGAATATTATTACCATTTAAAAAATAGTTTTACTTTGTATAAAATATGAATAAAATGTTGTTTACGCCTTATTGAAAAAATAATAATGAAACTAGTGATAATAAATGATATTGATTGCAAAATAATCACATTACACTGAAATAATACTTCAATTTTTTCGTCATCTTTTAGTCAGAATAAAATATCTTAATAACTCAACTCACAATCACTGAACTGCCAGTGGAGTTTATAGTTTACTTTTACTCTTCATGCACTACATTTCTTTATTTTGGTACATAACAGTAGTTCTACATATCATTTTTAGCGATAATATAATGTTTGTAATGCTTGTAGATACTGAGGGCCCAATATGTCAAAGAGTGAGTCAAAACGATAACGTACTATTGCTTATGTTTCACACAATTATATTTCTTTTTATCAAAACTTTTGTTTCATGAATACTTACAAAGTTAAATACAAAAAATATTTTTAAATACCGTTACAAGAATAATAGAATTACGGGTATGTTCCGATATACACTGCGAGCACTGCGCAGTGGTCTTACTGCTGAAAAATCCGTTCCGTTATGGACTGCCAGTACACTGCTACAGTACCCTAAGGAAATTTATGACGTTATAAATTGCCGCCATATTTGTACTGTGAGCACTGGAGATTTCGAGGTAAGGTGCTCGCAGTGCTTTTGATCACGTGATCAGTCGAAACAGAATCAGAAAATGATAAGTTTCTAAATAAACAAAAAAAAAATACTTACGTTTATTATAAGATGGATTTAATTGATAAATATTTTTTTTATACACAATTTTATAATATTTTCTTTTGAAAAGTGGGAATCTTTATTTATATTCACCTTGCATTAACAAATTTGAAAATGGCGCCAAAAAATAGGATTAACAGTATACTGGACTGCGTTCCGTTTTAAAAAGTCACCAGTATAACTAGCTATAAAGGAACGGGCTTCCAGTATATTAAATTGACGTCATACTGTTCAGTGGTCGCAGTGTATATCGGAACATACCCTACAAGAATAATGATTCTATAAAAAAAAATGTGCTATAAGTTTATATCTATCAACCACAGCAATGCGTATGCTTATTGTGAGGGTACTTTACGTAATTTACACGTTTAATATTGTTGCAATAGCGATAGTTTTGGTATCGATAAAAAGAGTCACACTACCTACAGGGCGACACTACAGATATCAATGCGATTGGTTAATAATTAAAATATTTAATAAATTAAATAATAAAACGGTAATTATTCAATATTATCGATATTATTCAACCGATAGTTTTCTATTTATATTATACGTGTTACTTTAATGATGATTTGTTGAATATTTTTGCAAAATAACAATTATTTATATTTTAAAATCAATAAACAAAAGTATAATTTTCTAATATTTGTAGTCTGTGTCTTACGTCAAACGTAACACCAATCAGAGAGCGTGACGTCATTTGTGGGTAAATCGGTAGTAAAACTATCTAGGAAAAGCACGGGAAACATTCAAAGTATAAAACAATTATACTGAATTCTTAATGACTTACAAAGGTCATTTTCTTGTTTTATTCATTTTGTGAGTCTGAATATAAAGGCATATTATAATTCTTTTCACAAGGAATTCCTTTTGCTTACCCCACAAATGACGTTACGTGCTCAGAGGCATAGTCTAAACGGTTTCTAAAACAGTTATATTTTAAACATAGATTTGGGTTCACAATAGGTAAAGCTTATATACATAAAATATAATTCGACCCCCTATTATATTGTCCAGATTATAACTTTTAATAGTATTTTCGAATAGGTTATCGCTATCGCAACAACAGTGTTAACTTGTTACATCTAGACGAGTCAGCAAAGCGCTTTATCTGTCACTCACTTTGCAAACAAACGTCAAAATCGAGAAATACTACACTAGGTGGACATTGACGATTGGTTTCAAGTTTTAAATTAAAAAATGATTTCATTAAGTCGAATCACTTTTTTCTTTAAACAAATTAAGATATTTAAAAAAATAAAATAAAGCAAATCCATACACAATAGCGCCAAACAGAATTTTGTAAATTAACTATTTCATAAAAAAGACATTAAACTAAACATTAGTGCCATCTATTGACAATCAATACAACAGTGAAACAGTGGCGTGCCCCTTTTAACGTTTTGATCATCGTTTAGGCATACAGTAAGATACAGCTAATGTGGCTCACGGATGTACAGTCGGCCAAAAATAAGGTCTACCACCCTACGGTTGAAGTTCATTTGAACATTATTAAACAATTATACAATTACTGAAAGGGAAAATCAACCTTTGATTTTCCCTTTCAGTAATATTTTGACAGTGACCATTACTTTAAATTTCTCAGATAACAGACAATACGTCATATTTAAACTACCACTTTCTTGGTCGTCTGTACCTACGCCGAAGGCTTTGCAGCGCGGCAAATGTCTTGTCATCAGAATGATTCAAGTAGCGGACCATAGCGCGAACCACGCACCCAATCCGAGTGGAATTGAGATATCGTTGTATTTTACACCTTAAGGTTATTGAAACAATAACTATAAATATAAATCGTCGGTATTGGTAGGTCTACTCTGCGCAACCAAAGATACACTATGCGCCATATAAATTGGATCTTACTGTACGCATGCACCAACAAACGTCCACAGTCGCACAAACGTCCATTAAAATGGTCATTAGATTAGGTCGTAGAAATTCTCAAAAGAGTTATATTATAAGTCATTAAACCTTAATAGACGTTTGTGCAACTTAGATATAGACACACAAACACACGAGCACGTTCACAGTCGGCCGAACCTGTTCGTGCCTGCGACGCGACGGCAGCAGAGGCGAGAACGGTCCCGCTTGAGGCGCACGCGGCAACCGCGGGTCAATGAAAGTGGTCCGCCTCATCACGTGGTCCACGAAGAACCGCTGCGCATACAGTACTCATAGTAGCCAACTAGACTGATTTATAGTTGGAGCATTCGCTTGGCAACTTTTGAAGCGACAAGAAATATTATTTTATTTATAATGCACTGGACCACAATCCTTAGTTATGGTTTCCTTTAGCCAAAAATTAGTAGATTGCTCTCTTAGCAATAAGATCGCCTTTTGCGTGTATATTTCTACTACTATGGATTTTTTTTAACGACCTTTACTTGTGGGTCGGGGAAGAATACGGGATGCTGCAAGGAGAACTCCGGACCCAACCCCACAATTTTTATCTGTTTGTTTTTAGTGCAATAAACGGTATTAATTAAATATTTTATAATTGCACCCTTTTCGAGGCCTTTCTCTTTCAAGAATAACAAGTGCACTAGAAATATTGTTATTTGATTTTCTATATAATATGGATTTATTTCTACGACAGCATTTAATTCCAATGACGTGGATATAAAGACAATGGATGGTCATACGGGTGTAGACAGTAAACGAAAATAAATACATTTTTTTTTGCTGGTAGTGTTTAATATACTGTGCTTATTATATTAATAATATAGCTTAAACTTATTATGAAAAAGAAAAACAAATATTTTATGCTCGTTGTCACGTGACTCATAGCGACACCATGACATAAGTGGCGTTTTCGTGGGAAAATTTGAAATTTAAATTAATTTTTAGATTTTAACTTACATAAATGATATTTTTTTATAAATATTTTTTTTAGACATAGTTCATGTCTATCTATAAAATAAAAATATAAAAGTTAACTTTACCTCTATTTCTGTTTTCCAAAGTAGCTTATATTTACCATAATAATATAAAAGAACACTCAAGCAGTTTGGTTTGAATTATTATAAACTGATAGACTTAGAAAACGACAAACTACAATGTATGTAATTGTTGTCGCGTTCACATAATAAAAATCTGAAGGAGGTCGCTATTGAAATTGAACACAGCGTCGGCCCACATCCAAAACGTAGGCGCTGCACACGTTTTAAATTAATACGGAATCGCACGTCGTGGGATGTGAAGTCTCGTTTATCAAAAACAATATTGAAATAATCTAGATTCTAGATCATTACATACCAAATATATTATATTTAAACTCTCATCTAATTTCATCTAGCCATATAGTTAGTTGTTTCAGAATTCATTTTTATTCAATAACGTCTACAGTAAATTTTCATATATTTTTAAATATGACATTGGATTTTTATTTATCCTTCACCGGACTAATTAGAATAAAAACATTTATGACAATACTAAATTGCTTTCATGAACGACTTTTTTTATACATCCATACATTATACATGTATTTGAATTAATAATGTAGGCATTCGTTTTATGAAAATGCTTTCGTAATATACTTTCCAAATTATTACAAAATCAAATTAATAATAAATTGTTAATTTGTTTCCATTCTGGCCTTCCCATTACGAAGGATAAATGTCAATGTCATCTCTACACAATTAAGGTATTGTTTATTGGTCCGTCGAGCCGGATTAACCATACTTTGGTTTTTGCGCAATAATATTTGTTTTAGTAATTATATAAAAATATTAGTGGTGTTTTAAGTTAATTTCTTCAGAGTTCTGTACCGTAATCAATATTAAATTATCAGAAGCATTGTCGGAAAAATGGGGAAGTTTTGTATAGTTTACTAATCGCCTGACTATAGTAATTTCTCGAATATATTAACCGTCTTTTAGATAAGTAATATTTTCACTATTTTTCTACTCAGGGATATTTATAAAGTTTGTATATAGAATTAATTCATAAAACTAAATTTATCCCAATCATATTTTTTTACGTAAAAAGTAGTACCAAAGTTCAATGACTAGTCAAATAACATCAAAGATTATCTTACCTTTCCGTTTCTGTCGAGTTTGGTGTCCCAGCCGAGAGGCAAGTCCCGTTCTGCGTCGCTGAACATGTTGACGAGTGCCACCAGATCGCGGTTGTGCTGGTACCGCTCGAACGATGCTGTGTCGCGACGGATCTTCGATATCATATGTTTCAGAGTCGAGTTGCAGTTGTATAGCGCAGACGCTTCCTATTGAAAGCAAATTACATTATTTAGTATACATTTAGACTTTAGACTCCGGAAGTATTAACATAAACAGAGAGCTTTAACCATAACACAATAAAATACAAATTCAGTTAATACAGAGCTAAAAACTTAGAATTAATATCACCTACAAGGGAGCGTTTTTATCCCATAATTTCATAGACACTAATATTTTATAATTAACAAAAGATTCATAATTAACAAAAAGTTGTAAAAACAGTACGCAAAATGGAACATACACAAACGCTATATAAAACTGCAAATTAATCGAGTTGCTTCTACAATTGAGTTCAAAATCATTGTCGAGGTGTAGGAATTAATGATGCCATGTTTGTTGTTATGACAAACATTTGTGTTTAAAGTCAATTAGAGAAAGGTCATGCCTTAACACGAGATTAAATTATTCATTCATACTAAATAATTTTAAATGCGAAAGTTTGGATCTAAGAATGTTTTTTAGTAATTTACGGTAAACATTCTGAACGGATTTTGATGAAATTCCGTATAAGGGCAATTCTAAGCCTGAATTAACGTAAAAGCTACTTTTTATTCCACATAAGAGTTTCCTTAGAGACCACGCGCGCGAAGCCGCTGACGGAAAGCTAGTTAGTAACAGTTAACGGGTGGTCGTATATTCAAATGTATGTTTGACCTGGTTCATGTGCAGGATGGAGTAGAAGTCTGGCCTGGCGAGGAAGTCGGCGGCGGGGTGAGGCGCGTGCGGGCCCCCGCGCGACGACCCCGCCCCGCCCACCGCGGGGGGCGCCTCCTCCAGTTGCGTGCGCGTCATCGTGCGACGAATCGACTGGTACCTGCACACGTCGTTCACTGGGTTTATTTCCTCATCATCATCATCATCAGCTCTTTTACGTCCCCACTGCAGGAACTCAGGCCTTCCATATGGATTATTAAAGAGGACGGGCCATGACCCTCCACGCTGGCCCAATGCGGATTGGAGGATATTAACGAGTGCAAACAGCTGAGACCAACGGCTAAACATGCTTTCCGAAGCACAGAGTAGCTCGGAATAATATTTTTTTGGTCAGCCATCAACAACAACGATCACGGGCTACGGCGCTTATCCACTACGCCATCGAGCTACTGCTGCCTCACTAACTGAATGAGGTTTTAATTAGCCTGACGTACTGTTGACTGTGAAATGTAGTTCAAGTATTGTATAACCGCTACCTTTTGTTTGAAACATCATATCCAGGCTTGAATTTGTAGATGATAAAAACTAGTACTCTGCTTTACAATCGAGGATCGGACGACAATTAAATAAACAAAATAATTGTGTGTGATTAAAAAAATCATAAAGTTTAAAGATTATTCTACGATTTTTTGAAAAAAAAATTTTTTTTTTTTAAATCCTATATTGTAACCTCTGTCTCATTTCAAAAGTAACACCAATCAGTGCGAGTGAAGTAATTTGTGGGTAAATTGGTCGTAAAACTATCTAGTAAAACGCGGGAAACATTGAAAGTGCAAAATTATTTCAATGATTTACTGGATTTTGAACCCTTCTAAACTACAAGGGTCAGTTTTGTGTTTTATTTAGTGTGCTTGTAAAAATACTTATTTTTCACTGAAAATCCCTTTTATTTATCCCACAATAACGTTAAGTTCTCCGATTCGCCGTTTACGGGGTTATTTTAAACACAATTTAGGGTACGTAATAAGGTTTATTTACATAAAATAAATTTTTTTGCGGAAATAAACACGCATACTGATTAATTTGAAACAGTTTTTAGAAAGTTGTCCGGTCTATTATACACTGACTAAATTAATGATATTACCTTCTGTCCAATTGTCTCCTTTGAACTTCGGGTGCAGGAGATCTCGGGGCTGTACCGTTCGCCCCTGGCCGTTGCCACGTGGTCGTCCTATTTATGTGGTCGATGTAAAACACTCGTCCATGACTGTCCATTCGCGCTTCCCATCCTGAAAATTAAAAATACGCACCCTCGATTATCTCTGTAAGAAAGATTTCTTAAATTGTATGAAATCGTTACAAAGTATTACACACCTGCTGGTAGCGGTTCCTCGCATTCGATGATCCCGCCGATCATATTTGCGGGAAAATCTCCCGTCAAGGCCATCTGTCTAGACGCTCTCTCCGGTATAGACGGTAGTCTAATTCCTGCCATATGTCTCAACGGTGTAGGTGAGGCGACGGCATTATCGTTATCGTCACTGTCCTCCACCGCTCTAGGCCTCCTAAAGATGACATCGTCTGGTGGACCCGCATGAACTATTGTAAAATGGTTGCTATTGACGAATTCTAAATTTGGAGACCTTATCTCGGACGTCCTTAGCTCGTTTGTGAATTCGACCATTTCGAAGTTGTCGTGTAATCTACTTTCAGAATTCTGTACAGGTGGAGGATGGAGGTCAGCAGGCGGCATTGGACGCGGTCTCCTCGCATGGTGTGTAGGAGTCGGCGGACACTGCGGCACATTAACGCCGGCGCCGGCGAGCGCCGCTACCCTCGTGAGAACCCTAGGATGTGGCCGCATCGGACTCTCCGGATTAGTTTTTGCTACTATTTTGTGAGGAGAATGCTTAGGTGTGCTCTCACAGCCAAGATTTTTCAATAAATGTCTGGGCAAGCTGTTATGTTTCGGCGTTGCACTTTCACACGAGTATTTCCTGTTCATCAACATAGTGCCAACGCTCGGCAGAATTTTACTCGATTCATCAACTGGTGAAGTCGAATGAGACGAATTACAAGAACTCGGTGCGTTAGAACTGTTGTCCGGTTCTCTATTTGGTACATCGATATGAGATGAATTCAAAAAAGCTGTCATCATTGTCGGTGTGTTGGCACGTACGGAACTTTGACGAGTCAATGGCTTGTGACCTTTTAAAGTAATTTCTTTCTCTTCGATTTGATTTCTGTTATCGTCTTCAAATTCTGAATGATTACTGATATCATTTAAAAATGTCGTTTGAGCTTTTTCTTCCGACTTAGCATGATTTGGAGTAACATTGGTAGTAGTATTAGGGTTTCCTTTTTCTTTCCTAGCAAATGTTGTGGTGATATAATTATCGGGTCCTATATCTTTTATAAACATTACATTATTTTTATTACTCATATCCGGCAAACCATCAGGTACATCTTTAGACTTCTTTTCCTCGATTATTTTATTTAACTTCATAGAAGAAACTGTAGATTCACATAAGCTGCCGTCCGTTTCGGGTGTTGCTAGTGGGGCAACATTTTGACCTCCTCTCCAAAAACTGGTAGTAGAAGACATAGCGACTTGATTGTCACAATAAAATTCGCCAGGTTTAAAATCGTTAATCTCACCTTGTAAGACTGCTGAATTTGTAATGTTATTATCCGTGAAAAACTGCTCATCAATATCTATCAATTCAAAGGTAAAAGCATCTTCGGGTTTTGTAAGTTTTTTTGGTTTTCGATGTCTAGGTACCTGAGGTGGAGAAAATGCATGCGTTCTCTCCAGCGGTTTGTGAGATTGTCTAGGCGGTAATGGAGGTACCGGTGACTTTTCCGCATCACTAGTTACATTAGCTCCTTCAACATCGTACACGAACTTCATAATTTTACAGGGATTCTTTGGTGACCATATTTTATAATATTCAGTACCTGGCGAAGTTGGAGATTCAAAACCGGTGTTGCCTTTACTCTTCTTCTTAACACCGTTAAAGGCTTGACCTCCACCAGTGTCAACTGGAGGTGGACATTTCTTTTTGACGCCGGAAGATGTCGGCTTGCTGTCCAAAGCATTTTGAGATTCACTATTTACAAAACGAAATTCTTTACTACAATTACTAACTAAAGATTCACTAGCATCACATTTTGTTTGTTCGAGATTCACATTGTTCCCGTTACTTTCTAAAACACTAATTGAGCATTTATTAACGTTATCACTGAGATTCTTAATGTCATGATTGGATCCTGAAACGAATTCGACTCCAGGAGGAATTTCAGAGTTCATTTCAAAACTCTCGTTGTTATAAGTGAATGGGGAGACTTGGTCACCGCTCCTCTTTCGGGACATACCCTCTTTGAGTCTCGATGGCAACTTCTTGAGATCAACCTTAAATCGTGCTGGCAAAGTTGGAGATTCTGCAACGCACTCCTCTCCCTCTCCATTGTAATATCGAAAGCACAGCAACTGTTCACAATCTGAAAACGATAGCAAAAATATTTAGCTACATTAAATAAATAATAACGTATTTGTTTTTAAATAATAATTTGGCTCTAAACGCCAAGATAATTTGGAGTCCCTAAAACGATTGGCAGTTAAGAATTTTCCCATACAAAGAGTGCATGCATCTATTGATAACTGGCCTCAACGTTTAAAGGACTGTTGCATTCACAATCTGCTGTTTACATTCAATGGAGACCACTTCAAATAAGCTGTATATATTTTTAATGGCTTTGTATTAATGTATTAAACTAACACACTGTAATAGTAATAAATGTTACATTCAATAAAAAAATATATATGTTCTATGTAACAATATTTATGTGCAAGACTGTGCATGCATGTATATAGATTCATTCATATGAATCTATATACATGCATGCACCGCATGACGGTCATCCGTCATGCGGTAGAAAATAACAATACAATTAACAGAAAAAAGCAAAATCAGATCAGTACATTACCTTCATAAGGTTGATTAGGCTCGTCAAGAAGCCACATTATGTCGCCGCTGGCGCATCCGGTTGCCGGCACGCGCTCGACGATGCCAGAAGTGTCCACTGATTCTGTAGTAATAAAAAAATTATAATGTTATAAGAGCAAACACAATAGTAATAAATATTAACGAAAGATCTACGAATAACAAAGTAAGTAAAAAAACAATGTAGACACTGTGCACCATCATATTCTGACATACACCGCTAGAGATTAAATAAAGAAAATCCATGCAGGTGCAAAATACTCGAAAACAAAAAGCGACCGAAGTACGCCATCAGATTAGACAAAACCAGGACGAACGAGCGAACCCTTCAGTTTTTTATCTAACAAAAATCAAGAGCAAGCGTAGCTCGGCCCGCTCGGCGCAGGCGCATCACAAATTATGCGCCAGACGTAATTACCGGATGCGGGAGTCGCCCGCACATTTTATGCGAAATAATCGAAGCCACCGAATTGCCAGTTAATTGGGGGAACATGACCATAAATATCACGGGGAAAATTGATTCCGCAACAGAATTTGGCTGGATACGATGCACCATTACCATATTTTGATTGGTTTAATATACGGGAGGCTAATACCTTCATGCCGTTGATTAAGTGTTCGACGACGTCGTTAATATCAGCCACAGGGCCACAGTAGGAACGTTTACAGCAAACATTTATTTTATTTTCCATCATAAATATAAAACGGTGGCCGCTCTGTTTACAAGCGCAGCGGACGTAAAAAGGTTAAGAAAAGGGCACAGTGGTGAACAAATAAAATAAACTTGACTCGTCGGACAGGATAAATCGCAGTATTATCTTCAACGTGTTTCCGCTTGAGAATAATTACATGTTTAAAACTTATGAGGTTAGGTAGAGGAATATCATTCTGATTTCTATTTGGACTCTTATTCTCTTAATTGTTTCATAATAGAGGTGAATACTTTAAGATCCGTATGTAAAAGAATATATTTATTAATAAATATTACAATTTGAATGTTTGCATGAAATGACTTACTTTTGTATTGTTAAAAATGTAAAACAACAAAAGCCACTTGGTCATCCAGTGTTTACATTGATGGTTTGCATTTGCCTAATTACAAAATACTTTAGTGAATAGAATAGCGCGATAAAGTGAGTTAAGTACGCGTACTGACAGTTGCAGGCATGTGGAGGGTCATGACGTGACGCTGTCGATGACGACACGCGGTGACACAGCGAGCTTCTATTTCCGGTGGGTGACGCAACATCCTGCACTTCCGCTCGGGATATGGGAGGAGATACAACTGCCACGCTTCTGCGGAGATCAGCACCACGTTTCCGGGATTTGCGATATCACAATTACAGTGCTAACCTACCTACTGACATGATAACCGATAAACGAAATATGTGAAGATCATGACTAAGGTAAGTTCGTTATTGAGCAGGACTTTATATATATAAAAAAAAAATGCAAAAAATTAAAATAAATGCCCAAACTGAATTGTTTAAAATACACAAATGTTCATGAATATAGTGATGCGCAGTAGGACCATCTTATGTATAACTCATAAAATTTCATGGAATATCTCAAAACACTCAAGATTTGAGGAAAGCATGACGCAGATATGAAAAATTCAACACTAGTATGTTTCCGCTTATTTTTCAGGAAATGAATACCACTTAACATAGAAAATAGACTGACAAATGCATGGAACATCTGTTATTTACAGATTATATCAATCTGTTCTGAAAGTTTTTAAGCGTTTCAAATTATTTCACTGGATTTATGGATATAAAAAGCTCATCATAAAAATACCGTGATGTTTAAAGTTAATATAGATTTATAACGAAACGAAAATTCAGGCATCCAGATTTAGAAATGATTTGTTTATTACTAACGCTAATGATTAGATTCTTGTTGAAGTTATCTTTCTACTAAAATCATGGGTTCGCAGTTAATGCGCTAGCTCGTCAGGCAGACATTTTAACTACTCATTAGGCGGAAGCTCATAGTTAAACTAAACTACGGTCATTTCACGGCCCCTATTCAGAGCATCTGTCTCTTAACGCCCACGCCTTACCTACTGTTTAAACTCCATTTTTTGTATCAACTATGATATCTTTTTAAGTGGATAGATCCCAGTTTCACACGAGATGTGATGTTCCTACATTCTTCGCGCCTTGTATTATTTTAGTCAACATGCTGTACATACGTGATGTTTAATGTATACTCATTTCTAAACCATATTTGTTAGAAAATTGTTTATCCTTACAGTCATATACAGAAAGGTTCAATTTGAAGAATACAGAGATACCGAAGGTTTGAAACATTTGACAGGCAGGAAATGCCAGTTTAAAGGGGTCGCAACGTTGATGACAGAATCCCATTTAGGGTGACGATTTGACGGTTCCGCCGCCAAGATTATGGCGATGTTGACATTCAATAGAACCCTTCGACATTCACACGACATGTCTTTTGGCGCATTAACAAGTCTTAAAGTTAAATAAAGGCGGTGATCACGTTGGCTAAATATTAAGCCCTGACAAAAAAAAAACGAGTTCGGTAGTAACCTTAATAAACCCGGCTGATGGTAATGCATTTAAATTCCTTTTCATTCATTCGGAGCGGCATTAATGGTCCGGTAAATTTTATGAGTGTCGGCCACTTAAAATTCCCTGAGGTGCGCACAAATCGTGCCGGATATTGGAGGCTAAACCGATCACCGCAGCGACAGCACCCATTAGCACCTATAGAAGATAAAAGCCGATGACACTTATCGCTTCGAACGTCATTCATGATGGATGACTGTTCATCGCAGGAGTTGGGTGGACGAGCACGACTCCGATGCGCCCGGAGTTTGGTTGGAAAGCTCTCCCCATAAATTTATTTGTAAGTCCGCGTTTCCTATTTCTATAACATTTCTCTGGCTAGTTATCAAAGCTTGAATGACTTAGTTATTAAACATAACTAAGTAATTAAGCCATAATTTTCTGATACGAAAGAGTGTTAGAATTAATCAAAATACATTTATTATTGGTGGTTCTTATATTTTCACAGGCTAAGCTTTCACTTTTAATTGATAAATAAGCACTTACCGAGTATAAAGTGAAAATGCACTGAGCGGATCTAATAAACTTGAGTGTGATAATGACGTATATCCTACATCTAAACCAGATGGTCGGATAATATCAAGGTAGAGAAACGTATCACAGTCAGCATTTCTACTCTATAAAAAAAGCATTATTTACAATATTCTGTAATGGAAAGTAAACATAATGTAACACTGGTCAAGGAGATATAGTAATTAAAAACATTTACTTAATGTCTTTCTGAGAATAGGTCACGTGTCACCCATTGTCAATGATCGTATGATTCGATCCACGTGTTATTAGATGACGATTAAGTATAATGTCATCCATTTTTCTTTTTTTTTATGGCTAACCAGTAATTAACACAAAGTGTGTCATGTAATAAATACAAGGGTGCGGTGCGAGTGCCTCCATCGCAACTTTAGACTAATACTTATAAATCTATACGTGACTCACCATAATTGGAATATTCAATAGATACCGTGAAAAACATAATAGCTACTGAGAAATACATCGATTCGAAATATAATATTTAACGAGTTGCCGTAATAACTGAACCTGCGTAATTATTATTCGCCGGTGCGGAGACTTGTATAGTCCTACGTTGCTCTATTCTATTCCATTCCTACCTATGTCTCATCACTACCTAAAAATGCTTTTCTTTTCTTGCCTACTCTTCACAGTGCTCTCTGGGCTCTCGCACTTGATATACCCCGTCATACTAACGAATTTTATTTTCTACCCATTCTCCGTCCACGCTGTGCACCTGTGGAATTCCTAACCTGAAGCCATTAGAAAAGCTCGCAGTTAGCATTGTTTTATTGGTAACTGTAAACTCAATCTCTGTCTCCGCATTGATAACTCCTATATAATATATTTATTTTATGTCTTTATTTGATTTTCTTTATTTCTATTACTTATTCAGATATATCTAATTACTTCTTCGTCTTGCACCCCCCTTTTCTTTCCTCATGGGTTGCCTGAAAGAGATTGCTACGTAGCAATAAGGTCGCCGAGATTATATTTTCCTTTTTCTAGCTTCTTTGTAATATGTCCATTGTAAAGTGTGCAATAAAGAATATTATTATTAAGTTTACGAGTAATCGCACGCATCCGTTCGGTGATTTCTGAATTTGTTAGATTCATACTTTTTCACTAATATACAGAGAAAAGTGAAAATATAGTTTTGTCAAATTGCGATATAACTATTGTTGAAGATTTTGAAATAAAAAAAAAAATAGAAGCGGAACCTGCTACATATAAATTGCACCGTTGTTGTTGCACCGTTGATCGCCAGTCTATATAATAGAGGATTGCTGTTAATTGCACGTTTGTCATTTCGTAAGAGCCACCGTATATGGCCAGCAAACAGTGCAGTCTGAGCAGAGGCCTCTTAGAATAGACTCGTGCCAGTTTCCCATAAAGGGCAACAGCGGAGGCGCCCGTTATCACCATCTACGATTACTGGCCAGAGTAATGTTGAGCTTTTAAAATGTGACGATCTAAAATTAACTTATGTAACAGGAATCTCATGATTCAAATTTTGAGGTACGATGAGAAACACTTCCTTCCTCCTTTATTAATTTTTTTTTTAAATGCGAATTAGACTCTGCTTTATTCAACTTTCTAAAAAGACGAACTTAAGTTTTCAGTTGGGATATTGTTTTCCTCGCTCTGTTGTCTTGGACATTTTAAATACTGCAAATAAATTAAAATTCTTCCCTTTCCTATTGCATTACGAAGCGATGACTAATTAAGAAATTGTTTCTTGCCTATTTTCGTGACTAATAAACTTTTTCTATTAGATATATCTATTAATTTCAAGTAGATACTTTCTTTTTATGATACACATATACGGAAAAATATTCTTAATGAAAAATGCTTACAAAATCCACTTGGTCTTTGAGATGGGATTCGAACCCATGACCTTTCCGAAATCCGGGCGACTGCTCCAACCACTGAGCTACAGGACCTAACAGGACTGACGAATCTTTCAAGCACTTGTTACTTTCTT